AGGATTTCTGAAGATCATGTGACACTGAAGACTGGAGGAATGATGCTGAAAATTCAGCTGCGCATCACAGGAATAAATGACATTTTACAATACATTCAAATACAAAACAGTTATTTTAAATCATAGTATTTCACGGTTTTACAGTTTTTACTGTATTTTTTATCAAATAAATGCAGCCTTTGTGAGCAGAAGAGACTTCTTTCAAAAACACTAAAACATGTCACTGACCCCAAACTTTTGACATGCATATAAAGATTATGATTAAAATGTAATTTAAAGAGCTGTTATAGTTGGACGTGACAGCAGACACACCCAGCAGCTGCAGCCTTTGTGAGCAGAAGAGACTTCTTTCAAAAACGTTTTAAAAAATCTTACCAACCTCAACTTTTTTTGAACAGTAGTTCAAAAAATTTACATAAAATAGTGTAAAATTAGCAAACAATTAGTATTTTGAAAAACATATTGTAGGTTTCTACACCAATATTTCTTCAAATAGTCAAAGATGGCAAAGTTCCCAAAGTTGCACTGAAACATGAAGTTGACACTTTAAAGAGCCAACAGCCTTTCGTTTACGTCACAACCCTTGAAAGGTGAAGATGTTCAAAACAGCTCGACTTGATCAGTCACCTGGGTTTGCTGAAAGCTAACGCTCTTTGACATTAACCTCGGAGGCAGCATAAAACGAGCCGAATGCCAAAAATGAGATTATGAAAACCAGACAGCCTGGTATCACATCACCTACACTGACAATGAGAACAAAGAATGAAAGTCTTCTTTCATCCAAATAAACGAATGTTTTCTGTTCAAGCAGTTGTAAACTGCCATACAATCTCTTGAAAACCTGCGTGGGCGAGCGGTCAGCATGTCAACAGCATGCCCAATCAATCCCATGGTGCAGTTAAGCACGACGCCTGGCCTGACATTATTAACGACTGGACTGCTTTACAAAGAGCGAGAGAGAGAGGTGGTTTACAAGCATTACTGGACAGCAGATAACTCATGTCAATCAACTACATTCCCATGAGAAAATTAACATGCTCTAGCTAATTACATCACTAGAGAGACTTGCATGGTGGAATTAGCGAATCAGGTGACAAGATGAGAGTATTTCATTAGTTTCATTGCAAAGTATGTACGTAATTGCAAATAGACCAGCTTCACGGACAAATAAAAAGCAAGCTCAAAACACATTTAAAATTGATTAATTTACTCCCATTATGTATATAAACACCCTAATATCATGCATTGCTACCTCCGCTGAAATAAACATAGTGTGCAATGCTCCAATGCAATCTCCAGCTCTGCTGTCGACAGCGTGGGAGATTAAAATTTAATATAGCCTATGCTCTTTTTCCCCCATATGCTTTGATCTGCAAGGGCAAACTGGACCACAGCTTCATGTGTAGATTTTGTGGGTCACTCCTGCAGATGTGAGCACTGGTGCAGTTTAATACATTTTAATATTATGTATAACAGACATATATACACATAACCAATTAAAAAAGTAAATTCCAACAGTAAATTCAGGTAAATTCTACCAGCAGTTTTATCAATATATAATACATACAAAAGTATTTTTGAGTGAATTTGTAGTAAATGCTGTGTATACACTGCAAAAAAATATACAGCATTTTTGACTTTTTCAGTTAAAACATCTTAAAACCTTAAAACAAGTCACATTTACTTGATTCAATGCTGCATAAGATATTAACTTATTGTTTTCATAGATTGAATCTTGAATATAACTATTTTCAATTGTTTTCATACTGAAAAACATGTGACAAAATCAGTGCAATAATACAAAATACACTTTTACGCATTACTGTACAGAGAAACTCTGTAATGCAAGTATATTACAAACTTAGTATCGTATGCAATGCTGATTCTCAAGTTATTTTTTAAAGGGATAGCTCACCCCACAATTAAAATGTTGTCATCATTCACTCACTCTTGACCAAACAGTTGATGGTAGCCATTGACTTCCATAGTATTTTTTTTTTTACATATAGAAGTCAATGGCTACCGTCAACTATTTGGTTACCAACATTCTTCAAAATATCTACTTTTGTGCTCAACAAAAGAAAGAAACTAATACAGGTTTGGAACAACATGAGGGTGAGTAAATGATGACAGAATTGTCAGTTTGGGTGAACTATCCCTTTAAGGATTTTAAGATATCTTGATAAGGATATCAAGATATCTAGAAAACAAGATGATAAAGGAACAAATAACAAGTATATTTATAATGGTATACCATCAGCTATCAGTCAAACTACGCTCTAGATATTGATATTGGCATCAACCACTAAAAACCCCATAGCCCACTGAAGAAAACCAACATGATCCCAGTAGCCTCATAAAAGCTCATATCCCCCTCATAACTTGCTGTACATATTCAGGTTTATTTCCAGACTGGCACAAAAAGGCCAAATTTGGCCCTCGCCCTTTATTTCCTAAGTTTAACTGTCTCTCAGCTCACACTATTATCCCTCATGCATATTTTAAATATTTCCACCCCCCTACAGGTTTAGACCCTCGTCCAGCTGTGCAGTACAATAGTAACTGTGAATGCACAGAGGAAAGCAATGAGCGCTAATTCAGTCTTGTGACCAAAAGTGGTATGCAGATGTTATGTGCCACATACGGTCCAAAAGAACGACTCATAAGGAAATCTATTATGTAGCGGTTTATTATGCAGAACAAATGAGCATAAACTCTATGTGTAATTATGATTATAAAAAAGAAAGTACTTTGATATAGAGATTCAACTGATTATTCTTAGAGACCTTGTGATTAAAAGATCCTGCATGAAAAAGTGGCCCTGTAGCACATTGTTTTCCCTCTAAATTTAGGGGAGAAAGCTCTGCAACCACTCTAGTGTTGGCTATTATTATACTCTGCATATATGAAAGCATGCTAAAAATCCTAAAAAATGCATGCAAGATTCCTATTGGATTTTCTACTTGAACCTGGAACCAAATTATAAATTAATTGAATAAAAAAATTAGATTAATTAAAATTTGGAATTCCAAAAGCATCCTAATGGGAATGCAATGCTGCTAGAAATATTCCAAGAGAAATTCCCAAAATATATATATTTTTTTACTTTTTTTTTTTTTGGTTCTTACTTTTTATTCCCATTAGGATCCTTCAGGATTTTTTCCCAAATTATAATTTCGATCGGAATCCTGTATGGATTATTGACCAAGAACTACGGAGAGCATTTTAATAAGGTTTAATCCGGTCATTCGTTTACTTTCATTAGCCTTTAATCCCACCACTGAATTATACTGTGCATTGCAGTGCGAGGAGAAGAAGGATCTAGGATTCCACACAAACAATTGCAAGAATTCAGCCTAAATTGGTTGTTTAAGCATATGAGGTTTGGACACGGTTGAAATAGAGGTAATTCGTTTGAGGACTGATGCACAAATGCAGGGCATGCTGTGTTTAGAAGATGGCACAAACAAAATGGGATATTTGTTTTAAATGCAACAAATATACTTCCTGATTAATGCAATTGACATTGCCTCATGGACATTCACTAACCATAACAAACCGTATACGTTATCCATCCTCAAGTAGCCAGGTAGTCCAATAAAATATAATCAAATTCTACAGTATACAACTGCAAATTATCCCTAAGAAAACTTAGTTGTATTTCATCCCACATCCCTACAAAGAGAACTCGAGTGTGGCAGATGATCATGCATGCTTTCATTCATGTGTTCAACAACAGCATTTATCAGTGTCTACAGATCAAGCCACAGTCAAACGAGGGTGATGACAAGCTACAAACCGAATTCATTAGGCCCCCTCTTTGTATTCCATGGCCTCTTCTTTTTCTCATACAACCCGCGTCCCTGATAGCAGCCATTAACACAATACAGATGAGAGCAGAGTGGCAACACCAGCACACGGCACCAGACAGGCGTCGAAAAGCAGATCAGTGTGCCGAGCATCGCCCCCGAGCATTTTGTCACTCAATCATTGGATATATGCCAAGGGGAATAATCTATGAGCGCAATTTCTACCCCACAAGTGCGAGAGGTGGCGGATGCACAATGCACATGCTATCCAGAACAAAGCCCTGCATTGTCTAGCTGTCCGAGACCACCTTTAGAATCACGACAGCATGCACTCAGTTGGAGATTTTCCAGTCAATCCATGCCATTCAGCAGCCTTGTCGCCAATGGCAGCTGCTAGTAAGTGGGCGTGAAAGCGGAAAAACCCTACTCACCGAGCATCTGACTGAAGAGCAACTGCTCCAGGTCACCAAGAACGGTGACCACCAGCTCCGGGTCCACCTTGAGGAAGGGTTTATCGCCACCTTCCTCACCTTGACCTTTAGCCTCCGGGTCTCCGGAGCTGCCAGCTACCGGTTTCTTCCCACTCGCTTTGGCAGACAGGATATCGTCGTCGGACTTGCAGTCATCGGACGTCTTGCTCAAGGGTTTTACTTCCACGTAAGGGCCTCGAGGGATCCGACTTGGGCCTTTTCCCAAAGCGCCAGGTGCCGCAAGCGGGGTGAACATCTTCGGCTTGCCCTGGAAGAGGGAGTGGTCCGATTTGGACAGGTTGCGAGAAAGTGGAGAACCACCCGCCCCTCCACCGGCCGCCGGTTTGGGCTTGCCCATCTTCAGGTGTCCTGAGGCAGCTTTGCTCATATCGTCGCACCATTTGGGCTCATAGAGTTGCATCTTCTTCTCGGCATCTGTTAGCACGGCCAGGTTGGTCAGGGACCTCTGTTTCCGAAGGTTGGACGGCACCGGGATGCGTCCCTCCATGCTGCCTACGCGGTACACCTTCAGCTCGCTCCGTGGCACGCTTTGTGGCACGCCGGACTTGCCCCTGTTGGCAGCCATGCCCACACCTTCCCTTGACGTCCCCTTGCTCTGCCTGACTTTTATTCGACCCCCAAGCGTCTTCCTCTACCGGAGAGCATTTAGGGCCGGATGAGAGAAGAGTGAGAGCATGGAGGAGAGGATGAATGTGCGGCTCTTTCTCTCTTGCACGGGAAGAAAATGCTAATTCCGTGCACCCTTTATTTTTTTCCGTTCCTTCCTGTCAGGCTGCAGCAGCTGCCGCCCTGGTTCTCCTTTTCTCTCTCCTCTTTCTCTCACTCCTTCATTTTCTCTCCTCCCTTCACCAGACCGTCTTGCCGCTGAGCCGTGCAGCAGCCAAATGACAGCAGTGCTGCACACAACAACAGTCCTCCCTCCCCTCTCTCCCCCTCCCTCTCTCCCCCTCTCTCTCTCTCCCTCTCTCTCTCTCTCTCTCTCTCTCTCTCTCTCAGCAGAAAGTGTGAGCTGATAGGGGGAGATGACAAATTGCAACACTACAATGTAAACTGAATCCAGTACATTGTAGTGTGTATTTTCTCACACTATCACTCCATCCCCTTTGTTTCGCCCCTCCCCCTTCCAAGATCCAATGCTGAATACTCAGTGAAATCACAGCTATATTCACTATCTGCCTTCAGGAGAAATGCATTGCGTATGCATGGGACAATTTACCAGTACACAAATGCCATACTCTATCTATCTATCTATCTATCTATCTATCTATCTCTCTCTAAATAAATAAATAAATAAATTACCTTTAGTGGAATAATATAATAATGTATACATTAGCTCTATAGTTCTGCAAATAATCTATCACAAAAATGGCGAAGACATAACAAAATGGAACAAGAAAAATGTGTACGTCTAACATGTCTTCACATTTACAATGTACATTGTTTTAGTACTATAATACAATAATGCATTATTTATAATCATAATTTTTTAAACATTAAGAATATATTAGTTATTAAGTTCTGCAAACAATCCAACACAGCATACAAAAAAAATAAAATAAAAATCAGCTGGAAAAAAATAATTGCAGTTTCAAGTAAGAGATTATTTTTTTTTAAATAAGACAAAAAAAGCTGGCAATAGAATAAGATCAAAAGTATGTATTCAAGATAAATTCTCTCAATAATTTTAAATACTATTTTATATAATATTATATATATAATAACAAATATAATATTTGTTTTAAGGATGTTTTACTGAAAAACAAAAGATATTGATTAACAATAGGATCTGCAAATGACCCTGATATATGTCAGCAATCTTTACCTGTGCAACCCCTCAAACCAAATCTCAAGGTCAAAATTGTGCAAAATCTGCAAACCTATAAAATGACAGTCAGAAATTAGATTTAGCTTCTCAAGTAAATTAAACTTGTTTCAAATATATCTAGATATGTGTAAAACAAATACAATAAATTAAGAATAGGATTGTTTGGCAACGTGGGAATAAATTATTTAATATAATCAATCATATCCAGATGTTTTCCATCACACCTCCTTCAACCTCCTCACTCCATCCATCTACACTTCATAAAACCGCCGTGTTGTTTTTAGATGGCCCCTAGCATCACCGCTCATGATATTCCATACGCATCTCTCTAAGGAGTTCTCCTCAATGCTTCGCTGGAGAAGCGTCACCATAGTAACGCTGCTTCCTACATCACAACATACATTAAGATGGCCTTGTCTCTCCACAGAGCACATCTCCACTGTAAATAAGGTAACAGCACGCCACAAATCCACATTCTGTTTGTCTTTATCGCTTCACAAATGAGCCTTGTTAGCCCGACAGGAGCCTGGCAGCGACTTAAACAAATCACCCATAACCAGCCTGATGCAACTGACCAGTTTGGTAAAATGACTTAATCAAAAGCTCAGCGCGCTCCTGCAGGGGGTCCGAACACTTGGCCAAACACATGCTAGTCCCGGGGCATGTGGGGTAATTCTGATGTTACTGACGAGGGAAAGAGGGCTGAGAAGAATGAGGTCTTTTGTTTGAACTCGTCACGAGTGGCCGTGTCGTTCTGTGGGGGATTTTTCCATTGACATCATTAAAAGAAGAACATACTTCCTGTGGGCTGATCTGTTATCACAAAAAGATTAAATAGTCCTTAATTTTAGTTAGATCAATAAAAAGCAGGTCAACTAGATCTAGATCAAATGGTTGAATTTGTACTGAGATTTCTGACGTTTAATCTTGCCATATTTAAACACAGTTTATGACATTGTTGATTGTTTTATGAAGCAGATTAAAAGTCTCCATTTGCTCTCAATTGAATATAAATTTTTTTAGATATTTATCTTTTAAATTAGTTTCGTATTCGTTTAATCTAAATTATGTCCAAGAATGATTACAAATCATCAAAAATATATATTAAAATATCTAAAAAAGATATTAAAAAATATATTTTTAATGTGTAAAAAAGAGCTATTAAAAAGACCTGAAAAGTGTTTATTTATTTTCAATTAGGTCAAAAAGAAACATCTGATATTAAAAGATCTAAAAAAAAAAGAAAAAAGGAAAAGACATGAGAGACCTGAAAAGTATAATTTAACCTCTATTATATCTAATAGGAACAACTGAAATATTACCAATATCTAAATAAAAAAATAGCAATAATAATAATAATATTAATAATATAAAGATTTGAAAAGTATAAATGTAATCTCAATTATGTCTAAGAAAAATGATTAAAAATATTTACAAATATCTATTAAAAATATATATTTTAATGTGTAAAAAAAGAGCAATTAAAAAGGCCTGAAAAAAAAAAAGACCTGTGTTTTTAATTAGGTAAAAGAAACAACTGATATTAACATCTAAAAAAAAATTAAAAAAATTAAAATCAAAAAAGTATTTATTTAATCTCAATGTATAAGAAAAATGACTGAAATATTACAATTATTGTAAAAAAAAAAAAAACAGAGATACTAAAAAGATCTGATATTAAAATATCTTTTAAAAGGGAGATACTAAAAGGATATCAATTAAATCTCAATGCCTAAGAGAAACAATTGAGTATTACACCTCAAAAATATAAAAGGAACAAAACAAAGAAACAACTGATATAAAAAAGTAGCAAATTAATCTTATTTCTAAAATAAATCATTTTTAGTGAAAAGTAGCCTATCCAATGAATCTTAAATCTCTAAGAACAACAACTGAAATATTAAAAATAGATTTATAAAAAAAATAGATCTGAAAAATTATCAATTTAATATATTGTCTAAACAAAAAACATTTGAGATATTACTGATATCTCAAAACTCCTAATTAAACTCAATGCTTATAAATTATAAAGAGATCTCAAAAGTCTCTAAACAACTTCACATCTGTCTAAAGGAAAAGGTATTAAAAAAGATCTGTTCTTTTATTCCCTATGGGACATATACTTACATTATATCACATAATATGTTACTGTATGATCCGACACTTACACAAAACAGCGCTGGATTCTGACACATATTAGGTGAGACCTCAGCGTTTTCTCTTCATAAAGAATGAAACACACGTCCTGATGTGACTACCGCCCGCCCTCTCTCTAGAGAAAGCCAAAGGTTCTCCAAACATCTGGATCCCATGCGGAGGCTGTGGTTGGTCAGCAGCGCAGATGTTTGCAGACATGAGAACATCCCATGAGTTGCTGGCATCTGTAGCCGGTCAGCTGCTGCCATTACACCACACTGATATATTACTCAGATGGGAAAAGCTTGTGTTTCATTCAGTGTTTGTGTGCAGATGTGGCAACATATGGCTGTGCTTGTCTGTTTGTTTGTTAGTTCACATGCCATCATTCCTACATTAAAATCACACCCCTCTGAAGAATTACTGAGTGACACAATATAAATCTTACGTTCAAAAGTCATAAGTATTTGTCTCCAGTGCACATATGCTGGATATTAATGTGAAACATGTGAACACAGTCTGTAAAGTCATAGCACATTCTCACATCTGAAAATATCTCAGGATTTGCTTCAACACATTACATATATTTACAATATACATATTAAGTACATATATATGCATTAAGTACACACACACACACATATACATATACATACACATATACACATACACACATATACACATACACACATACACACATATACACATACATACATATACACATATACACATACATACATACACACATATACACATACATACATACACACATACATACATACATACATATATATAGGTATATAAATATTAAATATATTAATTATATATAGATACATTTGTACTTTAAAAATGTACAATTTAAATTATATACCTTACTTATTTAATTTATTACAGTATGTACAGATTACAGTAATGAAAAAGAAAAAAAATTAATTCTGATTTAAAAAAATATCAAAAAAGTGTTTGTTTTCTTAATTAGATGTCATTTTCTTGATGCAGAAACTAAAAAAATTCAAACAAATTAAAAAATATCCTTTTTGGGGGTGAAATATGAGATTCACAAAGGAGCTCTGATCTTTTTTAAATTATATCATTAAAATATCAGATGTTATATTAGATATTTTCTATGACATGCACACATTGCAGTTTCATGGAAAATAATGTATATGCCTAAAAGCAACAAAAACCACTGTTAAGTATGCAAAGCGTTGATGGATACACAACTGTCACAACAGCTAATTTTACAAATGCAAACCTTTCCACACACTATCAAGGCATGTAACATCTTAAAGACATTTCTTGAAAACAATCTTCTACAAAAACACCATTGCACTACTTTTTCAAAGTACTGAATACAATCCCAAATCAGTGGATTGGTCTCTGTTCTTTAGCATGCCTGGCAACATGGACTGAGAGTATTTCACTGATCTTTGAGCTCTACATGTGGTCTGACTGAGTCCATCAAGAATCTGGAAAGAGCTTCAGATGGCAGAAACATACATCAGCAATGACATGCATGGATACCAATCGTAACTGACCACACCAGCATCTGCTTATAGTTTGATCTATCTGAATCATAGCATCCCTCACACAAAAGTACTTTGAAGATATCAGATACTAGTAACCACAGTCTCAGACCTATTCTTACTAACATCTACAGTCCTGTATGAGAAATGCAAAGGCCATTCCAGAAAAAAAAAAATGCTGCAGTCATGAATATTGGAATATTTTTAAGAGAGACTCACCCAAATCCTCACAGCACACTTCCATAGAGTCTGAGGAACAATCACTCAGATCCTCAAGAGAAGCTTCAGTATTTTCTCCAACCTGCAGCCTGAGGCACAGAAAGGACAGACAAAACCTTAACAAGAAAGAAAT